CTTAGAATTTATAGATAACTATTTCCATGTAGTGGTATTGTAGGAATATCCACTACCCCCTATTGTCTCATGGATGACGTAAGAGGTGACAAAGGTAAAGTGAAACCGGATTAACAAATAAAAATGAGGAAAACTGCTCGCCTGACACATTAACCCTGTGAGACAATCTATGGGGTGACTAATCTGTGGCTATGTTCAGTAGTGGACTTTTGTTGAAAGGCTGTAACGATAATACAAACTTGGCTCATAAAATATGGTCGAAAATGATTCCTAACATTTTATTCATAATTTATTAACAAAAGCTATAGATGTTATAGATGAGACATCCGCACTTCATTCTTTACAACTCCATTATGCTCAACAATAGGCCTATAAATAAACGGCACGTACCCAGCCATGTTTTATGTGGGCAGGGCGTTGGCTTTTAATGTCATAGCACGTAAGCTGAATTAGCTATCTGAGCACGACGACCGGTGCCAGCAATGCTAAAACTATTAGTTCCGGTAAATATTGACATTACACGAGTTTAATGCAAAAAATGTTCGGGGATGACCTATTTTTTGTAACTCGTTTTTCCCATTGCTGTTTAAAATTCTACCCCATACTCTTTACTTTTTTTCTGATGTTGTCATCTTAGCTGTTATTGTGCATTCATTATCGAAAGCTTCGTGATCATTGACTTTTCTTGATCCAACTTGAGGCCTTTTTCTGCCTTCTGGTAAATAAAGTATTGTTTGTTATCTTTACCGATGTTTCAAGGTGCATCCAATCAATGTCATGCACAAATACATTTATTTTTTGCAGTTATATAACCACTTCCGCAAACTCCAGTTATAATACGCAGTAGGTGGAAAATACTATAAATAAAAAGAGGACCAAAATTGTATGCGTATGTCCCTTCCTACCTAACACCATTACCCCAAACCCACTACATTAGGAAAAACATATCACCGTCTATAATACGACACATGTTTCGCCTCTAAATAAGGCATGACAAACGCACAAAGAACCACCGGTAAGCGCAAGGCGTGATGTTCTATCCTTTTTGAACTCACAATGAATGTTCCGTGATACGACCAATCTGGGGAAGGAAGATTAGCTCCTTCCCCTTACAACCTAAATTAGATTATTTTATCTATGTTTTGATAGTAATTAAAGACAGCACGCATCTTAACTTTCACACAACACTCTTAAATAACTTACTAACTTATTAATCTTTGTTGTTTACTGGTCAAGAAGTTTTAATTTTCCTTTAAAACCTTTTGGAAGAGTGTAATGTAGATAATCTTATTGTCGTAATAATATATCAAGAGGATGTGTATTCACATTAAGCGCAAGTCCGCAGTAATACATCAAATATTTGATGATGAATGAAACGACTGTTTTAAGCAAGATTAATGACCACGTTAGTAATAGCGCAAAGTCTGTCACTTAAAAATACTTTATGTAAATAAGCTGACGCTTGGTATGCCTGTGAAAACGAAATAAGAAAGTAAAAGAAAAAAAAAAGAAATAAGAAGTAGTATTAAGTTAGTATTTTTTATTTAAGTTGCGTGTTTGAGCAAAATGCCGCGCTAGTCGTTATTTGTTAGGTTTTTAGGAGCTATCTACTTGTTATTAAAAAAATATATCAACTAATAAAAAATCTTTTAAATATCTACGTAATCTTGATTCCATAATAGTCAATTCCAATATTTTTTAAAAAGGAGTAAATACTTGATGAATCTTACTAAAACTAAACCACAGAAGTGCAAAATAATTATTGAAAACATGCATCTCCTTTTAAAGTAATTATTATTTTATTTTGCGATTGACACTAATGGATAGACAATTTATTAATGAACATTTTGATCTATTTAATTTTTTCAAAGGGCTTGCTCAATTTTATAAAGAAAATAAAGCGTATTTCTTACGCGATATATTGTAGCTAGAGCGCGTGGAGTGTATAGGACCGAACCCTCAAGGTCGTTCGCTAGGAGTAGTGCCTTAATTAAGGTGGTATGGCACGAACTAAAGGTGGGCGGGGTTAAAATGCATGCTATCTTAGTCGACATCACGTGCGAAAGCGAAAGGCATGATGATTTACAAAAAAAAAACGAGCACGCGAAATTTTATAAACACCCCTTTGGGAATCTGGATATCATGAATAATCTATTCAATGTATCTGTTCAAAATAAAATTATTTTCACTTTTGAACACCTAATCTATCGTTCTTCTATCTATTTATTTTCGCACAAAGATGTGTTAAAATTAGTAATTTTAAATATTTTTATTTTTACCTTTTTGTTTCCATACAGGGCATCCATACAGGGCAGGTTTCCATCATTATCTAATGATGAGACAAATTGAAATCATTTTTTATTTTGAACGTACATCATCAAACAGTGGAGTAGTCGCCAGGCTACGTTTGTATAGAAGAATGAGTGGTTAGCGTACACTTAATAGTCCAGGAGGAATCGGCATCCACGTCAATTTTTTTATGTGATTCATTTGAAATTATCCTGCTGATAATATAAATTGCATGTAGCCATGGGGAAATTCGGTGCTATATTGTTTAAATCAATTTTTTTTATTTGCAAGGAATTGTTATTTTCAAACGAGACTATTTTTTATATTTTATAATGAAATACAAATTAAAAAAGGTCCTATGACTTGTTACGAAAAGTTAATATTTTCGGAGCTGTGAGTTTTTAAATGTTTGAAAAATCCCAAATTCAAATACTTTTGACTCATAAAAAAGGTCTATGACCTTTTTGAATAAAGTTAATCTTTTCGGAGTTCTGAATTTTTAAATCTTTATCGTAAAATAATCATAGGACCATTTTAATTCGTATGTCATCAAAGAATATAAAAAAAATTGTCTCGTTTGAAAATAACAATTCCTTGCAATTGAAAACCAATCGATTCAAACAATATGGCGCCGAGTTGCTCCATGGCAACAAGCATTTATATCATTAGCAGGACAATTTGAAAAGAATCGTACAAAAAAATTGAGGTGAAATAGTTTTCGTTATTCACGCGCCGATTCCTCCTGGACTATAAGGTCCTTTTATAAAAATAAGGTGACCAATGAGCACACAGTTCACCTGACGGTGAGTTAAGTACATAGATACCTTACATCTATTCTCGATTAAATATCAAAATGCGGATGCGTTTTCAACCCTGAGGACAAAATGGAATGAATGCCTTGTTATTATTTTTTTTAATATATATCGTTATTAAATGTATAAAAGTGACTAAAGAGGGAGTACACAGTCCACCTGATGCTGTGGTCCATAGATCTACATCTATCCTCGGTTAAGAATCCAAACGCAGAGGGCGACAACACCCCTGAGGACTATGGTGGAATGCTACGTTTTCAGTAAAAAGGGTATTCGGTTCTCTAACTCGTCATACGAAACACAGCAGTATTAAGCTGCTATTTTACGCTGCTATTCCGTGAGAGAGAGGTCCTTCTCGGCACCAGCTGACCCATTCATGCTACAACCATAATATATTTGCAATGTCTCTCTAGCACGTATAAAAAAGGGTTTAATTCTATTGGAAAAAAATTGACATCTATATTTTTAATATTACGTAAAAAATTGCTGGGTGTGGATAATCCCTTGTGACTGGGCTTGGAATAATTTGCACACATTAATTAAATACATGTAGTTACTTATTCGTTATAGTTACTGTCTTGTTAGTCTAGTGGTCGTGAATTGTTGATCAATGGGCCCTGGCTTCATATCCCGGGTCGGGCCAAAATCAGTTATTGGTAAACTTGCAACGAATATTCTGTTATTATGATTTGGCTATTTAGTTATTTTGTTGTAGTTTTTACCAATTATGTGAATTGGTAAAATGAAAATATGGATTGGAAAATGTATTTTTCTTGAAATCATTAAAGTGGCCATAGGTACATAATCAATTTCTGTACTATAAAAATTAATAAAAAACTATCATACAAATATCTATGCATTTGAATTATTTATACGTAGTTGAACCACAGCTATATTATAGGTGTAGCACGAATGGTTCGGCTCGACTGGGGAAGGACCACGCCCTTACAGAATACCATCGTAAAATAGCAGCTTACTATTGCTGTGTTTCGTACGGTGAGTGTAGTGATCCAGATACCCTTTTTTACTGTATCAAGGAATTTCATATTAGTCCTCAGGGGTGACAAACCATCTGCGTTTTGATTCTCAATCGAGGATAAGTATAGATATTTATGGGCCACATCATCCACTTACCATCAGGTGGACTGTGTGCTCGTTTGTCATCCTTATTCTATAAAAAAAGAATTATCGTAATTAAAATTTAGAAGGGGAAGATTGTAGTGAAGAAAGACTAATTTTCTGTATTATCCGGCAGTAGTTTCCTCCTTTTCTCGAAGACAATCCCAGCTTCAAAGAAAACACGCTCTAAGTAAACGTTAGTACTTCTTAACCAGGTGTATACTTTTGCCTAATATTCGGCTATTCAACAAGGCAGGCCGTAGAATATTCGTTATTCGGCATGTCACCGAATATACTATTTATTACAAGTTTAGTTATTGGATTTTTCTGCCGAGAAATTCTCACTAGCTACCCGGAGTCAGAAAGTTAACGTTTGGTCACCTCCGTGCTTCAGAAAGCACGTAAAGCCATTGGGCCTGCGCCTGATCCTTCTCCGGTCATGTCATCCCATCGGAGAAAGAGAATGCAGGAATTCCTGTCCTGCGCCGATGGCTAGTCTCCATTGAGACTGGCCGCCGTGGCCGAAATTCGGTCTGGGGAACATTAGTTACTTCATAAAGCTTTAAGTTTATATTATACGATTGTGAACATATTACTCATTATAATAATAAATTAAAATAATACTCAGACCATTGTTCTTTATGTATCGATAAATAACATAAATTGCAATTGTATTAACAAAGTTCACCCTGAAACAACAAACTGAACGGTTTCTCGATGAGTTGTGCCCAAACTCTTTCAAAAAAAATCAATATATTTATTCAAATCTTAATATTTCAGAATCAGCAAAGAAAGCTGGACGCAACCACATCGAACAAAAAACGACTTGAAGTGATCCGTACGAAGGTACGAGGCGAAAGACCGCGGACGCTCGAGACATACCCCCGAAAATACGAGCCGGTGACGTCACAATGGCGTCTACCGACACATCGACCTCCAGCCAGGCTCCCGCCGTGATTGAAGAACATAAGCGGATCGTCGACGAAGCGTTTCTTAGTAAACTGAAAGCTCTCGTCGAACGGTTAAGGCTTGACAACACCAACTTGAAGAAAGCGCTCGACATCGAGCGGGGCGAGGTCAGAGCGATGAAGGCCCGACACGAAAGCACGCTTAGACATTTAAGGACTGAATACAAAAAGAAGGAGGAATTTCTAGAAAAACAACTGAGAACAGTCTCTAAGCCAGAAAAATCAGTGGAAGACACTCAATATGGCGTTAGCAAAATTGTTGAGTTGAAACGTTTAACAACAGAGATTCAGTCTTTAAAGTCAGCGAATAGGAGCCTTCAAGAAAAACTAAAGGTAAGTTGGAATGAATCATTTATTTAATATATTGGCAATAGAAAAATTTCTAATAGACCTTGTACCTTGTAAAACAGTATGAAATACGATTTGAAGGGAAATCGGTCTGTAGTTTGCAAAAGTTCCAACGCGCTGTAAAGGCCGGTTTACACTTTGACAAGTACAGTGGCGAGTTAAGTAGCGATCCTGGCGAGTCAAGTAAAAAAATTCATTTGAACGGCAATTAGTGAGTTAAGTAGTAAATTAACAATTGAGTTGAACGGAATAGTCAGCCGGCCTATTTTGCGGCGAGTCAAGTTCGAAATGTCTCGCCCGCGCGCCTTCCGCTACCCGTCACTAAACTCGCCGCTCGTGTACACACGAGTTAGATTAATTCAGTGTATAAATTGACAAGACACAACGAGTTTGCGTTCGACCCTCCAATATAAAATTGTACTATTTTTAAGTAAACTGGCCACGAAGACATTGGAACGCTACTGCCAACTTAACCGTTTTTACTGTCAACTACCAAGTAACTAAACTCGCTATGTATTTGTTAAAGTGTAAATCGGTCCTATAAGACTTTATGTATCAATCATTCAACAATTTGCATAACTTTCGCAGTATTATCAGTCATTAGGCACCATCTTTCCGTTTTCCCGATGCTGACTTAATGGGTATCATCGTGGTAGAGCCGAACAAAACTTGCTCTTGGGTCGGTATATAAACTAGCATGTTGCTCTAATGGCAATAAGTACAGTCGACCGTTGAAATCTGCAGTTTCCCAGAAACAACAATTTTCATAGTGATTTTCATAGCAAGTTGACGTGGAATAAAATCAAAGATATAAGACTTTTAGTACTGTAAACGCCAATACGAATGTCAATTGTGGTGATTACGGAAAATCTTTACTAAAACGGTAGGAGCCGTTTATGGCCCAACATTTGCAATTTGATGAAGTAATTTCAAATTTTAAAGTCAAACATACAAATGAGTTTCACGCCATTGTGTAATCTTCATATAGTCTTCATTACCATAGAAAAAAATTAAATTATAAGCTTATTACACCTAGCATGCAAATAGGCAATTACTGTATCAGAAACTTCACTTTACACTTAATTGCCGTTACAAATCATTTTGCCATTTGTCAGACAAGATAATACTTAATCGGCATTTTTCCTAGTCGAACACTTTGGCGACAAAAATAATTGAGGTTTTTGCGTCAACACGTGACATATACCGGATGTTTGTGAAACGCACCCGAAAACGAAGACAGACGATAGTAATAACGATACCTTTGATGATGGGACAGAAAGCAAAATCGATCCCGAAGAAAAAAAATACGTGTGGCACTCGGTGACTGCCGCGGTAAAGCTATTGCATAGCATTTTTTATCAACTTATGCAATTATAATTATTTATTTATTTTATTTATGCAGCTAAGTCTTTGATATTAAATCAAGTTACACTTTTTGAGCGTGGTGACCGATAAGAAAACAATTTTTTTTCTCTTATTGTATAAATGAGAAGTTAATATCGTTTATAATATTTTTAATATCTTACAATACTTGTACCTAGGTTATTCAGGAATTTTTATCATTGAGTTAGCAGCTAGTGTACACGCACACAAACCCCGTGCCGAAGTCTGCCGAGTGCCGAAGTCTGCCGAACTAAAACGACGTTAGACGATGCACGGCTTTCATCGCCACACCTCAGTGCCCGTCGGAGTGGGGAGCGTGAGGTTTTTTTCGTTACGGAATTTCTGGATTCGGTCCCCGCGCTCAAGGCCCGCGATAGAAGCTATGCAATAGCTTAAAAATCATCTTTACACAACGTTTTATTAGCTTTATTCAGGCTCCATCGTGTTAGTACAGATAAATGAAACGATAATTTCATAAAGAAATCAAGAAAATACTTAGCATAAAACCAGCAGTGGAACTTAAAATACCCAACATCAGCTGACAAGGGTTAATATTCGCGCGGAAGCTGAAATCTAAATCGAAAATGATTTCGAATTCAAAGGTTAAATAAACTAAATAACTGGTTCGATTCCCCGCTAGTGAAAAATTTACTTAAATGAAATTTTAACAAGGAAAGAGTCATGCGTTTTTATCCATCGTGTAGAAATGTTAATTATTTTGATGTATTCAGTTTTGCACCTATTCAGATCAGGTCAGTACTATGTTATTTGAAAAAATTGGTATGCAACAGCTTACCGATCTAAATCTTCCGTGGCCTTATTAGATGCTGTTCAAATTGTGCCTCATTCATTTAGAGGCAGATTTGAGCTCGATGTTGCGTCTCCTCATGCAGGCGGGCCATCATCGTGGAGTCTTCGACACAGTCCGCACGTTGTTTGTCGAAAACATCTACGATTCTTTGACTCATTTCGTTATTACACTCACGATTAAAAACCCTTTCTTTCACATACCTATATGAGATTCTTTCTGTGGGGGTAAAGAAAGAAGATCTGGTGAGAAAGGTGGCCAAGCGTGTGGTCCTAGTCTGCTGATCCACCGATGATCAAATAGCTTGATGAGGCGTTCACGGATGAACCGAACCTCACGACATGTGGAGGTGCACCATCATGCTGGAATCATGTGCGGCTATATTCAGCCAACGGTAGGTCGTCTAAAATGGCAACCAACTGTTCATTTATGAAGTTTAGTTATCGCTGTCCGTTAAGTCGCTGTGGCAGAAACACTGGTCCCAGTATGCAATCCTTAAATAAACCTGTCCATACGTAATATAAATACCAAACCCGATCATCGGGTTTGGTGCCCGGTTTGTCGAACAGCGTGCACACGTGGAACACACGTGTGTATTTCTTCAGTTCTACAGGCATTTTTGGTAAATGTCGACTCGTCCGTTCAGATGACGAGCTCACGTTAATACGCTGGTCTAATAACCAACGGCAGAAAACTTGCCGGTGATCGTGATCGTCGGGAACTAAAACTTGCACTTTGTGCACTTTGTATTGCGCTGCTCGGAGTGAACAACCACTTGACTTCCACCTGCTGCCTCTACCGGAGCAATAGGCTGATTTCTAACACTCGCTGAAATGCTGATGTTACCAGACGAGAGTCAGCTGGGTATCGAGCGGTCGAGAATTTCTCTCAGTAAATTTGTGATGCATGCGAAGAATTCCCGCGAGCTACTCCAAGACTCATTAAGGGGATAGAGTAAGTCAGCTCAAATTCTAATTTCGTCCCCACTTGCCCGCGCGTCGTATGCTACGAGTATGTACCTATCGACATGTTTGTAATTACTAATACTGTAAGTAGAAAGGTCGTTAGACACTTATTTCATTAGGTTTATCATATTTATGCCTGTTTCTTAACGCCAAGCCAGTCACTTCTTATTTTTATTACGGTTATTTCCCATTTTAATTTTACGTCGTCCTGTTGCGTAATGTATATTCTGGTAGTAAGCGACACAACCTCCCCGTTCAAAGGCCGAAGCGAAGTGACCGTGCGGCGGGAATCACGCTTCAAGAGGCCGATAGTTTAGGTAATTTCTTCTTACAGTGAAAATAATGGTATTTAAAAAAAAGTAAATAACATAAGCACTGCTTTATAGTTAGTTCAGTTAGTATGAAAAGTTTCATGATCTTATTTAAAGTATTTTATGAATAACAGCGGTTTATTGTTTATTTTGGAGGTAACTTTCGAATTTTTTTCTATCGAGAAAATTTTACGAAATCGTGTTTTCGGCTAACATAATCCTTAACATTAATCCTCAACTTTACCATATATTTATTTCAAAATTAATGCTGCAATATTTTCGGCATAACGAAGGATCTTGCTAAGCCATTTGAGATTATATTTCCCCTTAACATGTTGAGTTACCATATTTACGAGCACTAACGTCTACGACGAAACGTTGCGGTTAGCACTTTTATCATTTCCACAGTTCGTTAAATCGTCACGACATTCTAAACTTTTATATTATAATTGAAATAATACTAATTTTTACGAAATTTATACTGTACATATTATACCATGACGAAGCAAGCAGTTCGTCAGTACAAAAATTATATTGAAATTAATAAACGTACCTAATTGGGTACTTACACAATTATAAAGACTATTTCATCGTTATTTTTTACAGTTCATTAATACATCAGAATTAATCTAAAAATAATTCTTTTACTTTATTTTAATTGAATTTCAGTTTTAATCCGTAAAATACTTTTAATTTACAAGGAGGTACGTCTAATGATTTCTTATATTTACGCGAACACTACACATTGAAATAATACTAGTTTTTACGGAATTTATCGCGTATATTTAACTTTTTAAATACCCGACGTTTCGAACGCTTTACAGCACTCATGGTCACGGGCGGGACTGAGATGTTCAACGTCCAGATGTCATAGTTAACCGCGGTTACCATAGATTAAAATTTAACTTTTGTTCCGATCTACACAGTATGAACTTATGGTATCTTGAAGTCTTGCAGTTGTATGCTTGGGTTGGGATTTAATTTTATTTATTATGGGATCCTAAGCAGATGGCAGCACCCAGCCATCTTCTCTATTGAAATTAGGATGTTTTTTGATTTCAATAGCCTCGCGAATCATCCTTGGAAGGAATCGGTGTTCTTTAGCGAGGATTTGTGGTCTATCAAATCCGATGTAGTGACGGGGGCGATCCTGTTCGTGTTCACAGACTGCAGACTTCCCGGAGCGTCGATTCTTCACATCAGCTATGTGTTCTTTAACGCGGGTTTTAATTGATCTTTTAGTTTGTCCTATTGTAGGAGAGACCACATTCACAATCAAGCTTGTACACTCCTGCATCTTGCAGATGGACATTACACTTGACTGATGGTAAAAACTGACCAATCTTCTTCAGCGGCTTGAAGTATGTTTTGGTGGAAGCGCGCTTCAAGATGTAGCCAATCTTGTCAGTGACTCCTCTAATATATGGCAGTACAGCAGGTACACGCTCCACTGTGGCCGGCTTTACTCGTTCACTGTGACGTAGGCGCGGGACCCGAAGCTTGTTATCATGCAAAAACTTGCTTGACATGGTAGAGCTCGGCAGCCCACCTGGCTGTCACAGATCCCTCGTGGTCTCTGAAACAAAGATTTACCAACGGTAGCTAACTGTGAAGGATGGTGGTGAGAATCACCGTTTAAATATCTATCTGTATGGGTCTTTTTTCTATACACAGTGTGGCTCAAGGTGTTATCAGGATTCCGAATTACTAACACATCTAGAAAAGCTAAGTAATTGTTTGCCTCTAACTCCATTGTGAACTGAATTTTAGAATTTATAGAGTTAAGATGGTCTAAAACAATGCAGTTACTTTATCTAAAGGTAGAATTGTGAAAGTGTCGTCTACGTACCGCTTGTAGAATTTTGGATTTATGGGAGAAGTAAGCGGGGCTTTCTCCTCAAACTCTTCCATGAATATGTCGGCGACAATGGGAGATACAGGTGAGCCCATCGCCACACCATCTACTTGCTTAGTAGAACTCCTCCTTTCACAATAGTTAGCCAGATGTAAGACAGTGTGTAAGTAATACTGCTTATTCTACGGGTTTTTTGTTTTTTTCTGTCTTCAAGTTACAATTGAGATGCAGTCTTCAACAGGTAAGCATGTGAACACTGACTGCACATCAAAACTGACCATAGTTTCATTGTCGGCCAGATGTAGGTCTTTAATCTCGCTGACAAAATGGTAGGAATCCTTTATGTGTGCTCTTGTATGTCCCCTGAGTGGTGAGAGTATTTGCGCTAAGTGTTGAGCCAATCTGTAAGTTGGTGAATCGATTTGGCTCACTATGGGACGTAATGGAGTATTGGGCTTGTGTATTTTTGGTAACCCATACAATTTTGGTGATTTGGCGCACGTAGGTATGATATACCTACTGCGCCAAATCCTTTTACTTCACATTTTACGTCCAGATTGAATTTTTCGGAGTGTTTCTTTATGAGGTCACTATTTGTTGGGTCAGAGGTACGTCTAAACAATTAAAAATTACTTGCAAGTTTTATTGTGATTGCCGCCTCTAATTCTTATGGTGTCTGAAAATCTTAGTAGGTAAATTTCAGTGCAACATGTGCAGTATTACTAACACAAATTTGTCAAATTCCCCAAAAACCATGTCAAATTCCTCAATTTAGGGACAAAGCTTCAACAAATTCACCAAAAAACTCTCCTAAATTTTAAGTTAAGTAAATGAAACAATTATTAACTAACTTTATAAGATTTATTTTCTAACTAAATTTTTTTTGTTTTTTACGAAAACATTTTTTTCACACTTTCCATATTTTTGTAACAAGCATTTTACTATGCATGGAGTATTTACGGAATTCTAAAATGCGGCGCGTACGGCGCGTGCAGCGCGAGCGGCGCATGCGGTGCTAAAAAATGTGCATTCAGCTTAATGTATTGTTTTGTACCAAGCTAGATAAAGGAGTTTAGCATCCGCGCGAATATTGATCCTATAGTCAGCTGATTTTATTTTAAGTTTCACTGCTGGTTTTATGTTTAAGTATTTTCATGATTTTTTAAATTAAATTATCGTTTCATGATGGAGCGTGAAGAAAACGTCGTCGGGATCGATTTTCTTTTTCACCCATCATCAAATATATCGTTAGTACTATCTACCTCTCTTCGTTTTCGGAAACGTTTCACAAATACCCGGTATATTTTTTTAATGATTTTAATGAAAATAAGAAGTTCCTGTTATTTATACAACATATTTATTATTTATTAAAGATCAGAAATCATTTAAAATGTACAAAACGTGTTGTATTAACTCTTCTCGAATGTAAAAGTTCTATATGGTAAAATAAAAACTCAAATACAAACGCAAATATACTGAAAAGAATACCAACAAGCCAAACGATAAAAATTTCTTTCACGTTTCCCGTATTTAATGATTTTCTTCCCTTGTTTTCAGCAGTATAATGATTTTTTTTAATATTAGTCCGATACAGTGTATACTCTTCCGATCTGCTCCAGTACTGCAAAATCCCGGCTTGGTTTAAATGGTGAAAGACTTTGTTTAATGTTGGTAGATATGTTACAGGGCACGGGACTGGACATTCTTCTACTGTGTGAAACAATGGTCTACCATTCCTCATATTCGATTGTTTTCTGCTGATGTATTGGGCTTCAACCTTCCTCATCAGAATAGCGTATTGGAATTGTCTCTTAACAATAGCTTCTTTTATCATCGCACCATTGAAAATTTCAATCCTTTTAATAATGTTATGATAATCAGAGCTAAGACTCTTCTTGTAAATGTGAATGTGGCGAGCGTGAACTGCGAAATTCAAGTTTGTTTGGACCAGGTCAGATAACGTGTTTATATCTGGTTTATATCTCGGGTAGGTTATTGCAGATGTTATTATGCCCTGTAATTAAATAAAATGACAACTATTGCTTGTGGATAAACGGAAGAATACACAAGGCGATTTTCCAGCTATACAAATGTATACAACAGCATTCATCACAAAAATATAAATCTTAAAATAGCTTATCAAGTTGATTCATGATTCTTAAAATAGAATGACACGGGGCGGGGAAGTAATGGATTATTATTCTACGTCGCCAACACACAGCAAATGCAAGTATCATCAAATTTGAAAAAAGAAACTGTTATAAATTTTCCGAACGCTTTTAAGCGAGTACAATTTTAAACTCTAAACTATGGAATGTAGAAGTAGGGAGAGCAATCTCTCATAGGAGAATAGTTGAAAAAGTGTATATCTGTAAGCAATAAATAACAGTTAAAAACTTTCCACAACAGCGCTGGAGTAGCTACAGGGATGAAATGAACTTAGCAGTTGTTGACGGTTTGAAGTGTGCTGCTAAACGGCTCAGTAGCTCTAAAATCTAAAATAATTTTATTTAGTAAATATAACCTCGAAAAAGTCGTCTATCCCACTAATTTCAGTTCTTTAAAATTTAAACCGTAGCTATAGTGGCGCCACCTTTATTTAACGGTTTTATAAGGACAATTTTTAATACACAGTCTGTACTCCTTACCTCTACACTCCATACTCTAAACATTAGCTTATACTTACATCAAGAGCACAATTGACAACGATGGAGTAGATCATTATCAACAAAGCAACGAATCGGAAAATATGTCCCATAAACTTTATGTCAACTGTCTGTCTTATAAAACATTTGATTAAATTTATTACCGTAGACGAAATGGTGCTCCTCTCGTCCAAATTCCAAACTCTCTTTTCAATTGCTCGTATTATTAACGCTGCAGTTATAAATAAAACTAAATTGAATATGAAGACCATCAACAGATTAATCGAGATGAGATTTAACGTTGTGGTTAACGTTGATTCTTTAAGCGACTTCTTAACCAAGAAACACAGTTCGTCTTGTTCTAATGGATACGTTGTGCCAATGTATCCGTAGTACGAATTTCTCAGCATTCGTGAATTCAGTCCCAAGTCCGTATATCCATCTATTAGATCAGCTGTCACCCCAGTAGCTGTTCCATTTGCCAACAAGTCTCCTACAGTGTTACCATCTCTTGGTAGTAAAGGTTTACATGTAGCGTTGAGTATTTTCATTACTGTTTTTGCGAGTCTTGAATTGCAGTAGAGAGGTCCAGTTTGGTCTGATATATAGACTTTTCTGAAAACACTTAATCGCAGCTCATGTCCAAATAAATCATTATGTTGTTTAGCAAGCATACGACTAACCTCACTTACATCTGTTATGTCTCTTATTTCGTTGCTAAAAGGATTGAAAGTAAACATTCTCAACCTTCCAGAATACAATGCCATGACGGAGTTCGTAATACGCCTGCTTATAAGAAACTGGAAGTGTTGTTTCATATTGTAAAAGAAATAACTGTCCATTTCTATTGGAGTGTTGATGACAAATATCACAACACTTCTAGGTGTGAAAACTCCAGTTCTTGTAAAAGCTTCAATTACAAATTCGCTACCATCTAAAGATAATTCGTTTGATGTCACCACGTATGTGGTCTGACCATGTTTGTTAATCTTCAGTTTCATCTTTGTTTTATTTGAATTACGACATCCGTTCAAAAGCATAACGGGGTAGCCGTTATCATAATTTTCAATGTATTTGAGGATTCTGTTTTCGAAGTATGTGAAGTCACAAAAGGTAATGGTGAAGAACCACTGCTTGAAAGCGTTAAATATTTTTTCGACCACCTCAAACGCGAACTCTGCTTTAAAATAGGTTTGGTTATGATAATCAAAGATTTCCTTGTACAGAGCGCATTCTGGATTAATGGACGTAGAAGTGCGAAGAAGAGAAACTGTTAATAACGCTGTTAGTAACATTTTGAGGTGTTGCTTGGGAGTAGATCTCGAAGCGGACTGCAAAGTTTAAGGTCACTTTACCGGGTGGGTAGCTGCGAGTCATTAAGCGCTGGAAAGAGCGTTTATTGAAAACACGTCAATTATTACGGAAGCAAACATAATATTGGCGCGTTTTATAGTGTGGATATTAGCATTACATATTATGTTTACGAAGTTTGGTCACAGAATGGTGAAAAATAAACAATTTTTTTTAGTCAGACCAGGTAGTTTCAAAAATATGTTGTGTATTGTATTGTGCGGGTGTAGTCTGTACTCGGGTTTCAAAATCGGAAAAAAGAAAATCTGCGTTTTATATTTAATTAACAATAACCTCACTTTTATATGAAAAATGTAATTTTATTATAAAATTAAAGTTTGTTTTATATAAAATAAGATTATTTTTAATTTACTAGATCCTTTGGATCGCAAGTATACTTAAACCAGTATATTACAAGCATTGGCGTATCTAGGTTATTTTTCAGAGGGGAGGAGGCTAGCGTCTCGAGTAGTCTAGTTGCAGCCTCGTACCGGTAAGCGATGGGTATGGCGGCCCTTCACTAGACGGATTGACCTGGTAAAAGTTGCATGATGTCGATGAAAATAGGTGGCTCATTACCGTGCTTTGTAACATTCCTTGAGGAGGCCTTTGTTGATTTGGTAAAAGGCTTTAACGATGATGGATGACGATTTATAAAAATAGTTGATGGTATGATGGCACAAGAGAGCGTCGTACCGTTTGCAGTTTTACTGCCAAGGCACATCAGTAGATGTTTCACATAAAAAAGGTTGAAGGCAATGCTGATCTTAACATGCGGGTTTGTCGTGCAGGTGGCGCAGGCGGCGGAGTGTGCACGCGCGGCTGAACTGCGGGCTCAGTGCGCGAAGCACGCGGCCCTCGAACAGGCTGCTCGCAGGGATGCGCGCGCGCAATGCCACAAACTGGTTTGTACCTTTGCACCTTGTACTATTTATTTCTTCTTCATGTTCTTCGTTCAAGTTGCACTACTAAAAGTAATTGAAGTACTCAGAGGACTCTTTTGGACTAATTGCAGCCGCTAAATCTATCGCATATCGCGGCAAAACTCGCGATACCACTCATACCATGGTATCGCGAGAGCTGGATGTTTGGCGGTCTCCCACTGTGCAATTTACTAAAACTTTTCTTCCTCGCACAACTTTTTGTGGAATCGGCTATTACCAGCGATTTTTTGATACGAGGGGCATTCAAGAAAAGATCTTACTCTTTACAAAAGAAGACGTGAACCTGGTGGTGTTTGCATTGCTGTGTGACTAATCTCTGTATGTGATATTAGTTAATGCGTAGGACGAGTGAGTGTGCAAACACAGGTGCACTCTCATAGATCCGATGGGGCGGCAAAATCTGACATAACCAGAGAATGATCGAACGTAGTATCAACGGTTTTACCTGTTTTCCGAGACACGGGGACGAAAAACCAACTTCATGACTTCAGGTTGCTTCTGAGAATTTCCAGGCAGAATAACCCCGCATAACTGGTTTTTAGCCCGATCTTGGATTCGAACCCGTGGCCACATTATTAGCAGACGCGCTTGCGAACATTAGATCAACGATGCAGTCAAATAGATACATTATATGGTACTAAAATAAACAACCCCTAGCGTGCGACGAGCAAAGCAAACTATGCATCGTAATAATGTTTATATTGTCGACGCGTTACAAAATAGTTTATGGCAGATAGCGTCGTGTGCGATCAGCTATAACTTTAATAAGACCGCAAGAACGATGATGATCAATTCATACTAATGTCTGATATTGACTAAAATTTGTGATTATTTTGTTGAACGAGGTTGACGGAGCTTAGAACACAAGGAATATTTCATGATAGCGCCTTTGAAAATTTTATAGCAAACGTTTGAAAATGTTTTTGCTGATAATATGTTGCTTTAAATTAAATACCTAGTTGGTCAATAGCTTTACTGACTTAATTCTATTTGTAGATTATCGTTTACTTTTAATAAGTATTAATTATCTATATAACTAACCCTTTTTTTGTGATTTATTGGAAAGTGAGCGAAAGAAAGCGCAAATTCAAGCACTTTAAGAAGTGCTCTTAATGGGGTTCCAAAGTAGATAAGGCGAATTCTTGATAGATTGCTCCGTTGGTCTATTGATTCTAAGCGCGACTGCTTATCATGTGTTTACGGGTTTGAATCTCGGGTCGGGCCAAAATCGGTTACCAGGTTTTTCTGTTTAGAAATTCTCAGTATAGCAGCATGGAGTCAGAAAGATGTCGGTGTTTTACCCCTGTGCCTCGGTAAGCACGTAATTCCATTCGTCCTTCGCTTGAGCTCTCTCCGGTCTTGTCGGTTTACCGTCCCATCGGATCGGAGCGTGGGAATAGAGTGTGCACATGTGCTTCTGCACATACTCGAGTACTATAATGCTGTTCTGTGAAGATAGCTTTAGTCTATGTCAGTCTCAACATAGACTATAGTCAACATAGTAGTCGAGATCGAAATTCGGTCTGGAGGTTATTATAATTTATTTTTGAACGTTTTAAACTTATTATATTGCCACAATGCATGCTTCCTTCAAATATAAATGGGAGTAAAGCATAATCCTGTTATAGGTGGTAGAACAACGATGCCACAGAAATCGTAATAATTTGTCTATTATTACGATTACTGTGCACACTGCTGCTATATTATTGTTGTAGCATCAAAGGGGTCGGCTCGACCAGGGAAGGAGCACGCTTTCACAGAATACCAGCGTAAAATAGCAGCTTAATACTGCTGTGTTTCGTATGGTGAGTGTAGAGATCCGGAGTGTAGGATCCCGTTTAACTGGAATCGAGGTATTCCATGTTAATCCTTAGGGAAGACAAAGCATTTGCGTTGATTCTTAATTGAGAATAAATGTAGATGTTTATGGGTCACAGCTTCCACTTAGCAACAGGTGGACTGTGTACTCGTTTGTCACTCAATGCTAGGTATATTAATAAAAAAAGTTGTAAAGTGATAATGGTACTCACGTTCTACTGTTGGTAAGTGGCCGCCACTACAGCCCATGTACAACTGTTACCAACTTCAAATACAGAAGGTTACAGATTCGTTGTCACCTCTGAGGGTTAACATGGAATGTCTTGAAGCTTTTATTTAAACTGGCTCTCTTCGGACTAGAACATAGCACTGCACGCACAGCTGCTTAGCGCAAAATAGAGAATGTACTTATTACCCAGGCAGACTTAGGCTGTAAAAGAGTCCTACGAGATATAATTTATTATATTTTTTTATATCTATTGTCTTTTAAGGAATACAATACCAATTTCTTGCATTGTTCATAGCTGGAGGAAATTAAATCGAAAGAGCGGGTGATAATACAGCTGAAGCGAGAGGCGGCGCGGACGGCAGCCCCGCATAATGAACAGGTACGTTAAAATACTTCTTTGTTATCAAACTTTCGGGTACGAAAGCCCGGTTTACATTTTGAGAAGTGACAAGTGCGAGCGGCAATGACAAGTGACAAGTAGCAAGTTGGTGTTCACACATGTGGCAATTGGGTGTCATTATTATGTGAAATCTTCGAGTTTGAAATTGGGGATGGTAATTGTCAAAGAGGCGCTAGCACAGCTTTAAAGTTTAAAACTGGTATCTCATCATACAATTTTACCTTTTTTTGATTAAAAAGATGTGTGAAGTGCCTTATTGCAAAGATATTGGTGCACACCAATTTCCTAGAAACGCTTAAGTGAGAAAAATGTGTCTTAAAGCTATAACAAGGAAAAAATTTAAGCCTGAAAATAATATGGCTCCAGCCCCTGACCTAAAGGAGTCTTTAATTTTCTTCTTTTCTTGGTAATATGTAGACTTAATGCTTCTTAACTTCACATATACCTACTTTTTTGCGCCGAAACCGGCCACTCCCATTGATTGAGATATTGAGGGCATAGCAGCGTCTCGCATCATTTTATTTTTTTTAAATTCAGCGATTTAATATTGTATAAACATTCGTGTTTCAATAACTCCTTGACAAATTTAATATTATTGCTATCTGACCACTTCGTAATAAAACAAAATTATTATAAATACGAGTATGTATACAATATATATTATAACAAAAATATTTTATTTAATAACTATGGTAACAAAAATATAACCAACACGTGTATGTTCTGACGTTCGCCGCTAGAACGGGGGCGGCGGTGGGAGACTGAGGGGAAAGCAAGGTTAGCGCGGGGCAGAGATACTTGTCAGAGAATAGAGCAGGCCGCTATTCACTTGTTACTTTTCATTTCGCACTTGTCACTTGTCACTCGCACTTGTCACTGCCTGTTCACACGCACTAAGCACTTGTCATTTGTTACTTGTCATTGTCACTCGCACTTGTCACTTCTCAAAATGTAAACCGGCCTTAACATTTTGAGAAGTGACAAGTGCGAGCGGCAATGACAAGTGACAAGTAGCAAGTTGGTGTTCACACATGTGGCAATTGGGTGTCATTATTATGTGAAATCTTCGAGTTTGAAATTGGATTGGTAATTGTCAAAGAGGCGCTAGCACAGCTTTAAAGTTTAAAACTGGTAGGTATCTCATCATACAATTTTACCTTTTTTTGATTAAAAAGATGTGTGAAGTGCCTTATTGCAAAGATATTGGTGCACACCAATTTCCTAAAATAGCTTAAGTGAGAAAAATGTGTCTTAAAGCTATAACAAGGAAAAAATTTAAGCCTGAAAATAATATGGCTCCAGCCCTGACCTACAGGAGTCTTTAATTTTCTTCTTTTCTTGGTAATATGTAAACTTAATGCTTTTTAATTTCGCATATACCTACTTCTTTTGCGCCGAAACCGGCCATTTCCATTGATTGAGATATTGAGGGCATAGCAGCGTCTCGCATCATTTTATTTTTTTTATAAACATATATATTGTATAAACATTCGTGTTTCAATAATTCGTTGACAAATTTAATGTTATTGCTATATGACCACTTCGTAATAAAACCAAATTATTATAAATACGAGTATGTATACAATATATATTATAACAAAAATATAACTATTACCTATAACCAACACGTGTATGTTCTGACGTCACCGCTAGAACGGGGGCGGCGGTGGGTGACTGAGGGGAAAGCAAGGTTAGCGCGGGGCAGAGATACTTGTCAGAGAATAGGCCGCTATTCACTTGTTACTTTTCATTTCGCACTTATCACTTGTCACTCGCACTTGTCACTGCCTGTTCACACGCACTAAGCACTTGTCATTTGTCACTTGTCATTGTCACTCGCACTTGTCACTTCTCAAAATGTAAACCGGGCCCAGCTGCGGGGAACTTATTTACTGTAGAAGGAGATAGAAAGTTAACCCTTTCTCTATCCAATGAATCATATATGATCATTTCGATTGTTCAACTATTGTGTTTATATCGCGAACAGGTCAACTATTATTACGTTACGTTATTGTAGATTTGTGTACAAAAATAAATGTGGTGACTGATAATATGTTAATTTATAGGATAAGATAGTCTTTTTACTATTATTATCCAATTCTTGACGACTATACCACTTGATAGAAAGTGAAAATGCAACCGACGATCGGCGTTCGGGGGTGAATGAAAATATCGTGAGGTAACTTGCTTACCTTTTCACAGTGGTAGAGCCACACGGCAGCTTTTGCTGTTGCATGGCACCACGACATCATAGAAGACCAGCGTGAAGAAGAAGTTCTGCTTCTGCATTTCGTATGGTGAGTGCAGGTGGCCGGAGGTCCAATTTCCCCTCACATGGTAGCGGAGTTAGATGGAACACTACTCCAGGAGAGTATCATCAACTCTGGTGACGGAGAATCCCTCGCTGGGCATCCACACCCAAGTTACCTTACTTTTCCTGAGTGTGGGTGCTCAGACTGCCCCGCGTATTTGGTTGTACTAAACTTGCTCGGGGTAAACGGAGCAATAAGACAAAGGGGCTCCCTGTCACGCTGTCCGTGAATTGAGTGTCCGTGAATGAAGACAGCGACGACCATCCCACGTCTACGGGTGCCTATATGGGTCCTCCATAGCGGTAATGCCGACACAGACCGACTCATCGACTACGTCCAAATGACAGCAGACTCCGTGCTACAACAGGTCCCATCCTCGGAGATCGTGATGTTTGGTGATTTTAACGCCAACCACACTGAATGGCAAATGGCTTGGTTCCCTATTAACCGATCATGCGGGTAGATCTGTTTATGACTTTTCATCTGTTTATGGCACAAAGCGCTTCTTACGAAGCTTCCTTTATATGGGCTTGCCGAGAAATTTGTAATTGGATCACCAGTTTTCTTGCAGATCGGAGCATCAAGGTCGTAGTAGACAATCAATACTGGTGTTCCACTAGGCTGCGTGCTATCACCAACACTGTTTTTTCTGCATATCAATGATATCTTGCAAACCGGTAACATTCATTGCTATGTAGACAACAGCACTGGTGATGCTTTATACACCGGCCGCGTGTCAGTATTTCTCGGGAAAACTGCGCCGAGTACCGGGACAAATTTGTATCTGAAGTCGAGACTTTGTTGAACAAAGTCTCGGACTGAGGTAGGCTAAATCTGGTCCAGTTCAATCCCCAAAAGACACAAGTTTGCGCGTTTACCGGTAAAAAGAACCCCTTTGTCGTATCTCTTCAGTTTCAATGCACTCCCCTTGTTGCCTTAGCCAGTATCGGAATGCTTGGCGTCGACATATTGAGTGACGTGCAGTTTCATGGTCACTTGGAAGCGAAGGCACAATTGGCCTCTAAAAAGCTTGGTGTACTCAGCAGAGCGGGACAGTATTTCGTGTCCGCACAGCGCTTGCAACTTTACAAGGCGCAAGTTCGGCTGCACATTGAATACTGTGCCTATCTCTGGGCTGGGGCTCCCCAGTGACAGCTCGTTCGCCGGTCGCCGACGATTCGAATGGCTCGCAGCACAGAGCCATTCGAATCGTCGACGACCGAGCTCATTCCGATCGGCTTGACTCACTGGCACTACCAAGAGATGTTGCATGTCTTTGCGTATTTTATCGCATTTACCACGGGGAGGCCTCTTAGGAATTGTTCGGACTAGTTTCAGCCGCACAATTTTTATTTTTAGACAATACTTGCGATACCATCCGTACCATCTGGATGACTGGTGTTGCACCATTGTGCGATTTAAAAGAAGTTTTCTTCCTCGCATAACTTCCTTGTAGAATCGACTACCACCAGAGATTTTTCCGAACCGACACGACTTAGGGACCTTCAAGAAAATAGCTTACTCCTTTTTAAAAGGCCGGCAATACATCTGCCCAACAAGTGAGCCGTATGCTCGGTTGCCCCCTCTACTGTAAAAAACCTTAATATTAAAAAAATACACAGGCATGTAAGAAATAGAAACAGAAATTAATTTTGTAATTCAGACCGATATAGATTATAAATATTACTAATTAAAGTGATTTTGTTTAAAAATAAACTTGACTTGGGAAGAACCAGCATGATCCCTAGCGGGACATTTTTTGTTCTACACATGTAAAGTGTGACATGTGAAGAGTGCCCCAACACGCATTGGGGTAGCGCCGCGGACATTTCCTTGCCCTAAAACCCTCTCAGAAATAAAAGGAGGCCTGTTCTCAGCAGTGTGACCTATATATTTTGTAACTTTAACATTACATATTCGTAAATTTGTTTTATTGTTCGTAAATGTATTATGAGCCAAAGTTAATATATTTATTTTCTTAATATTTTGTCTTAGGGACTCATTAGCTTATAAATCTTTTTGGTATATTTATGTAACTTTATTCATATAAGTCACCGTATTTAAATGTATAATTTCTACCAATTATGTTATTTTTAAGTCTCATATAAGTGAATATTTGTTCTTTTTTGAGACAATAAACTCTTTAAACCTAAACCTATCTTAAGTTGCGCGTATTTGAAACAAATAAAATTTCAGTGTCAATTGCATTTTCCTGCGCGCCGCCGTCGGGCAGTAAAATCGACTCGTACTCGTATATTAGGACGGCAAACGGCATAACGCTCTTTTATGCCGTTATGTATACAATTCGTTGCTTCCCTGTATGAGTACTCTACTGCATGTGCCTTATTATTATTGTTATGTATGTATATACATTTGTATAGCTATGTATTAAAATGCGTGGCTGTGCCCACGCGCCCTCTGTTATTAAACGAGTGCATAGCAAGCTACCGGCCGTTTAACTCGCTCCCCGACCGTATACATAACATTGGCGACGAGTACCCGCGTAAAAAGTAATTACAAATGGCTAATTCATATTTTGGAATATTATCCAGTTTTAACCACGATATACAGGAGTGGAAAACTTATAAAAGCCGAATAAATCAGTGGTTCTTGGCAAATGAAATTAATAATACGACGGATCCGAGCGGGAAAAAGAGAAGAGCAATT